GCTGACAGGTCTCCTTGCTCTCACTGTGCCCTCTCGGCTGTGTGGGCCCAACGTTATCAACCACTTCACTTGTGAAGTACTGGCAGTGCTGAAGCTGGCCTGTTCTGACAGCCATGCCAGCGAGATGGTGGTGTTTGCCACTGGTGTCCTTGCACTGCTGCTACCATTTAGCTTCATCCTGGTGACGTATGTGCGCATTGGCTTGGCTGTACTGCACATCTGTTCAGCTCATGGCAGAAGCAAAGCTGTTTCCACCTGTAGCTCCCACCTGACTGTGGTCAGTATATTCTACGGTACAGCCATGTTCATGTACCTGCGGCCTCAATTCAAATCTACCTCAGACCAGGACAAGATGGTTTCTCTATTCTATGGTGCTCTGACCCCCATAATGAACCCCTTGATCTACAGCCTGAGGAACAAGGACGTGCATGGGGCCCTGAGGAGAGTAACCAGCAGGAAAATACTTGCTTAAAGGCAAGCTGAGGCCTCTTTGGTCTAATCTAGAAGGGTGAAGGGACCCTAACAGATATAAACACCTGCTGCAAAGCTCTTTTCCTGATTGCTACCAAGAGCCTAGACATCATCAACCCTTCAGCTTCTCAGGTTTTCAGAGACCTGGGTGTGGCATTGTACAAACAAACCGGCTGTGTAGGATTGTGTGTATTACTTTGTATGAATGTGGCTGTGATTACACAGCCATATGCATACAAGTTAGCCACTGTGAGCATGAATGACAGTGTATATGACTATTGTGTGCATATGCACATGCGATAGTGCACACTTTTATGACTCTGTGCATGACTTAGTGTATGCACATCTGTGTGACTTTGTGGGACTGTGGCAGACTCTGGGTACATGCAGAACCCCTGTGGTGGTGCAAGAAGCAGGTACCATGGACAATCAGCCAACCATTTGATTGGTCAGTGCTTAGTGGTTCTACTTCAGAGTCTGCAGTGATTAGCACCTATCTGTCCTTGCATCTTGTCAGCCCTGAGCCTGGATTCACATAAAATGTTGTGTGGAGGGAACTGCAGCATCAGTGGGCCTCAACAATGGGCCTGGCAAATTCAAGGTGTTCTGCAGGGCTGTCTTGAGCTTAGGATAGTTTGGGAACCCTCCTCCCAAGTAAGCCCAGCTCCCATTCCCTCCTTCTCTCCCTTGCATCACAAGCACTGTGGGGCTACAGTGGGGTTGGATACTAGGATACTCAGCAATGAAAACTGGCAAAAAGGCTGTGCCAGTAAGAACCAAGAAGCTGGCACTGACCTACTACCAGCCACAGAAGTGGTATAAGCACATATATGCCACAAGCTTGAGGAGATGAAGAAAAGGTCCTTCTCTGAGAGCCCACAACCCTCAGCCTGCAGGTCAGAGCCTGACTCTCTGCACAGCCAACATACTAGCAATGGTCCCCCGGAAATTATGATCCTTGTCTAGAGCTGCCTTCTCTCAGTCCCAACCCCACTTCCCCAGATGTTACTGTAGTCACTTGTCAGAACCTATACATCTTAAGACCAGAAGAGACCATTACAATCACCAGCCCGGTCTTTTGCATCAGTCAGGGCAGAGAATCCCCCCATATCTCATCCTTGCACCCATAACACAGTTTGTTTAGACTAGAGCATGGCTTTCAGAAAAGAACAGCTCCTCTGCTTTCAGACTGGGAGATGGAGAAACTCCCACAGCCTAGGGAAGATTGTCCCACTAGTTAATTTTCTTCACTGCTTAAAAGAGGCAGCTCATTTTTGTTTGAATTTGTCTCACATCAGCTTTCTAGTAAGACGCTACCTACCATCAGAAATATCCCCAGGTAGGTGCTTAGAGACCACACTGAAATAAGTTTGAATTCTTCTTAAGGGTAAACAAATTGAATTCCTCCAGCCTTTCACTGTGAAGTAGTGTTTCCAGGCCTCAAACTTTGCTTGTAACTCTTCTCAGAACCCTTCCCCATTATTCAACATCCCTTTTACAGTGTAGATACCAGAACTAGGCACAGTGTCTAGTAAAGATCCCCTTAGAGATATATGAAAGTACCTTCCTCTTTTCCTCAGTAGTCTCCATCTCAGGCGTTAAGTTCAGCTACATTAGAAGTCATATTTGCATGCACTGACTTTGCTGAGCAATCAAGATTGCTTGGAGGAACTGACCTGGCACCATCATTATTTTCCACTCTACTAACTGTGGAGTGACCTGCAAACTGCCAGCGACAATTCTATGTTTTCTTTCAGACCATCAATAAAGATCTTTAAATTACAGGTCAGATCTCAGAAAAAGCTTCCTAAGTGCAGGAACAGTAAGACAATGAAACAAGCTGCCAAAGGAAGCTACAGAATTGCTTTTGTTGGATCGTTTCAAGGAGAGGCTCTATGAGCATTTGTCTGGGCTGGTTTAGGTACAGGAAATCCTGTGTTGATACAGGGCACTGAAGTAGATGATCCTGGAGGTCCCTTCCAGTCCTGTGATTCTATAACGAATAGGATTAGGCTCCCCATGGGTCAGGAAGTTTGGCAGCAGGGGGTCAGGGGCAATCAATATCACCAACCTCCCCTGTTGCCCCACGGGGCTGGTTGAAGCCAAGCCTCACACACTCCCCCACACAGACAGATTGGTGCCAGGCCATGTTCTCTTCCTGGGCTGGGACAGGGCCATGCCTCCTCTCCTCTGCAGAGCTGGATCAAAGCCAGGCCAAGCCCCCTTCCCCACATGGAGCTGGGCCATGCCCCTTTCTCTTCAGTAGTCTGGCCACACCCTTTCTCCCCTGTGCAGCTGGATCGGGACCTGACTGTTCCACGTGCCTGCACCTCTTCCCTGGTCGAACCTCCACAGGGATGGATGGGGCCACACTGTGTCCACCCTAAGCACCTGATCTGGACCACTAGCCAGATCTGATCTGAGGACAGAGAAGCCTACTGGGTAAAAAAGTTGAGCACCACTGCTGTAAATGATGACTCCCCATTTGCAATTACTTTGTGAGATGTATAAGTTAACCAGTTTTTAATCCATGTAACACAGGTTGTAATGACACTTTCCACTGGTAATGGTTTTACAATCACAATGTTATACTAGACAATGGAAAATGATGGGCCAATCTGTGATCTCATCATCACAAACTGTACTCAGCTTAATATAACCTGTTTTCCATAAAGCTAAATTGATTGGCATTCATTATGCTGCCTTCCCTTGGTTACAGATTACCTCCTCTATCACTCTTGTGTAGCCTGAATGCAGCCCTGGATTTGCCTACAAGAAGCCCTGAAAATGGAGGGCAGATAGTCAGTTCTTGGGGTGCTAATGCCACAGCACTGAAGCCCTGTAAACAGTGGTCATTAAGTACCTGCTGCTGTCAGCTGTGGTATTAGCAGTCCCCAAAAACTGACTACCTCCCTTCATTTACATGGCTATTAATGGCAGTCCTGAAACTAACTACTAGAAACCTTGAAAAATAAGGGGAGAGAGCAGCCATGACACTGACCTGCTCTGTTCCTTGCCAGGCTTCTAATAGCAGCCCTACAATAGCTGTTTCCCTTTACTGTTTCTGCTTCGGTTAAATAGAGTATCATTAGTTAGAAAGCAGACAGGTACAATTAGCATGCAAGTAAACAGAGTATGGTTAAATTACAGAGTAGGCCATGGGGCTGACCATGGAGCAATTTATGCCTTTAACCAAAAATGCAAATAACCTGAGCATGTACAATGTAAACAATAAGCAAGAAGTTGGGACCAGCACCATGTTAGGCAGTTAAGCCAATTCCTATCCAAGATGCATATAAATAGAGTGCATTGTGTGTTCACTTTTGTCTGTCCACAATCATAAAGAGACTCTCTGAGATCTGCTGAGGGCAGATTGAATTTACAAGTCCTGGGTACTGCTCAGTTGCCATTAGCTACAGCACACAGCCCTCAGTTCCCCAGTGACTGCTTTAGTGGGAACCTCTATGTGTTCTTATAGAATCTGCAACACCAGCCTTGTGACGTGCACAAATCATTGTTTCTAATGCCCTGCCTACTTAAGCCACATTGCAGAGCTAACTAGAACCTCAGCCAATTTGTCCAAGATGCAATCTCAGATCAGACTTATTTGGAGCAGATCAGAGCAACAGATTTGGCTTATTTTACTCCCCAACAAAAAAGGGGTATTTAAAAAGTCCCTTAATTGGAAACACACTAGTTTACCTGGGGACTGTAATTCAGAACCTTCTCAGATATATGGCTCCAGGTTTTTACCACTACCCCTGCCTCAGGCTAGTATGGGGCCCTGCCAACTCTCAAAACAATCCAAGCCAGTATGTGGAAATCAGAGCACTTGGGGGGAAAAAGTTTCTACACATGAAGTTCATCTCAGCAGTAGTGGTACCACAGCATCAGTGTATCAGCCCACCCTTGGCCTTGGCCCAGACAGGGAAAACCTGGTGGGATTAAGCAGAATCCTGTCCCTGCTTTGTGCTGCCTTTGCCTGGCTCTGCCACTGGCACCCCTAAGGCATGGATGGCCTTGTTTTCCAGAACCTGCACTGTCCCACCACCATCTGGCATCAGCACACTGGCTACCATCGCCCTGGCCACTGTTGCCACAGGAACAGAATAAGCAGTTGGGAACATGCGTGCCATAGCACCCAGCACCTTCTGGGCTATCCACTCAGTAGGACGGGACTCCCGGCGTGCACAAAGCAGCACCCTGCAAAGAAGAGAGAGGGGAGATGAGGGGAACCCTTGTCTGTGTCCCTGTGCAACCTAGGACTTGAACCAACCCATATCCTGGAGATCCCAGCCTGTCCTGTAAGCCCTAAGAAAGAGCTCCTAAATGTCCCAGTGGGTCATGGAATGGCAGCAATAGGCAACATGGTATGGGCTGGGCCAGGGTGGGCCCCAAAGCTCAAGGGACAATCATGGATAGGATCCCTATTTCCCCAGGCTTGGAACAGCACAAAATGGAGGTGGAAGCAGCTGTAACCTGCTGCAGCAAGACTCCTAGAGTCTATGGCCCTGAACACAATATGCTCTAATCTTGCTGGTCACTCTCTGCCCACCCTGTGGCACTGCCCAAACCTTGTTCCAGGTTCAGCTAACCCCAACACAGCCATGACGTGACTGTGAGCATGGGCCAGGGAAGACCACCCCGACTGCACCCCAAACTCCAGAGCAAACATGGGGCTCTCTCCCTCTATTGCAGCCCTCTCCCTTTCTACATGCATCAGTTGCCTTGCACCCTCCCCTATGCCTTCCTCTTCTGGGCTGTACCCAGGGGCACTACCCACCACACCCAGTGCCCTCCTTCTACACATCACTCACCCTGGCCGGAGGACAGTGAAGTGATCAAAACCTATTTCTTGGACCTTGGCTTCCACTTCACCCTGCCAAAACAGATTGCCAATGAGAAGGAGAAGTGAAGGCTGGGAATGCCCCACTTGGGCCAGGGGTACTGAAAAGCAACTGCTTGACACCATGTCCAGCCCCCTGAGGTACCAGAGGATAAGATCCCCACAGGGCCAGGGAACCAGAGAGACCTAAAGAGCCATGGGCTGGAGTCACTCCCTTCTCCAATGTGACAGGCTACAAATGGACCCGACCAGAGAGGCTTCAGAAAAGTGTAGAAGAAACAGCCACATACCTTGCCTAGGAATCCACCTGCCAACACTGTGCCAGCAGATGATAAGCAAACCCTGCTGGCATGCTGGTTAAGAGAAAGTTTACTGCACAGGAATATGAACTGAAATCCTGAGAGGGATGGCCAGGCCACACTGCTACACAGCCATAAGACCCTCTATCCCCACCCACTTTGTGCTCTCTGTCCTGCACACTCCGCTGCCACCCCTATTCCCCAGACTGTACTGCCAGGACCCAGGCTAAGTGTCCTCAATTTGATTTCAGCTCCCAGTCTCCTGGCCCTCAGCATGTTCTGATCCTGTAACTTTAAGTTCCTGTGGGGATCTCCTCCAAGCATATAACCCACCTTCACTCTGAGATAGAGTAAGCTGCTGCCCTTGTCAGCACCCTGGGAGGATTGCAGGAGGAAGTGTTTGCAGCCACCAGTGTATGCCAGTTGCGCGGCCTGAATGACATAGTCCCGGTCCACACGGACAAAACCATCCTACAGAGGGAATGGGAGAAAAGGGTTAACACAATCTGAGGGGCAGGGGGAAGGGCTGGTTTTAGGTTTTTCCTGGCACAGGCTGGACATGCAGTCCCCCTCACCTCACCCCCAATCCCACCTCACTTAGATCCACAGGGAGTAGTGAAATCTTAAGAAGTAGCTGACCAAACCATGAGAAAAGGAGGAAAAGAAACATTTTCTACTCCACAAAACAAAACAAAGGCATTTGGAAATGAGAATCTGCTATGATGCTCCCTGAGTTCAGAGCAGCCATTTTTCACCAGGTGAACCACAGCACGAGCTGTTAGCCATAGTCCAGCATCTCAGCCATGACAGCCCCTGTGGCAGCTGGGGATGTGAGGTGCTGAAAGGACAGTGAGGCACAGCACAGTGACACCTATGCTCTAAGGACTAGTCCATACTGCCCATCCCTGAGGATTAACCCAGATCTCACACTGAAGATGCCTCTCTCCTCACCGCTCCAGCCTTGGCTTTGGTGGTTCCCAAGCAGCAGAACCCAACATCGTGGCCTTGAAATGCTGAGGCATATTCGTCCAACTTCTCAAAGTCGACCACCTCTTGGTTCTGCAAGAAGACAATGTGGTTGAGTCACCATCTCCTGCTTGATGGCTGTACCAAGATGGGGCATTCCTCCCTGCCCCCAGCAGTTCTCTAGCTTTGCCTCAGGCCTTTTCCCATCTCAGGCAGGCCCTGCTGATGCTGGTTGGGGTCAGGAGCCAGAGATCTTCTATGCTCATTAATTTCCCTATAAAACACCTTAATCTCTGCAGGAGCCAACCAGTGATGAAGGATGGCGAGGACACCAAGCCTCAGGTAGGTAGACAGAGTCTGGCTGAATCTGTCCTGGGGACCCAGTTAATTAAGATCAGATTGACAGGAAAACCACTAATTTCCACCTGTGGCCCATTGCCTCTAACATTACAGAACATAGTGACTGCCAGCCCAGCAGCCAGAGCTGAAGCCAGGACAGGTCTAAAAAGCTCTTAAAA